AGCTCACCGGTGTTGAGCTTTTTGTGGTGAACCTTACAGATTGAGCCGAGTTGGGGGTGGTTGTCAATAGTCTCTTTTTCTTTTCTAAGTAGCAGTTCTTCCTCGGTTTCTCTTAGAGCCAGGTAGACATTATGAATGTTGACAAGTAATGAGCAGCTTTTGTCAGTGATGCATCGGCTGTGCAGTTGCGTAGTCTTGACTTTATATTGCTTGGATGTAGCTCCTCAACTATTCTCCGGATCTCTCCCATCATGGTCTTAATATTATCTATTTCTTTCTTGTCGTCGTTAATACTGCTACTCATGACTGATATGATGTCTTCATTTCTGACGGAAGATGTGGGGCATATCAGCCCACCGAGATCCGAGGTATGCGGGGTAACAATGCTTCCGTCACACAAAAGAGCACCAGGATGACTAAGTCTTTGCCTTTTGTCACTAGAGCAGCCAACTTCAGGACGTTTAGCCTTGGATCTTCCCATTCAAAAGGACATTCAAATCGAAGCTTGGTGCTGAAATATAAAAACAGCAAACGGCCATAGGTAGTATACCGAAACGTCGGTAACGGTGTGTGAGGAGATCAGTGGGTCCATAAACCAAATAGATAGGATAGAATGAAATATTACCATGAATATATGGTAATAATTAGTCAAACACAACAAGAAATTTGCGAACTGACAATTAGGAACCGCATGAAAAAGAAGTGCATAGATTCAACTTCACTTCGAAGATAGAGGGAGAAGTCTTCCTTGCATCTCGATTTCTAGTGTAAGTACAAATAATAAAGTAGTGGAAGGTTGTACCAACTGAATGATTCAGCGGGTCGAGGAAGGAGAGCGGTACCTGTCACATCACAGCCCAAGAAAACTTGGAAGGTCATGCCTTGTACTACACTGTTTTGCCAAACGGGGAAGGGGTGCTGTATATACTGTTCTTCACGGTGGACCTGGGTGTATTGCTTCACCAACTGAATTTTTGTTAAGATAATGAGGGTTCCAAACCGCCACTGTGATGTATATTGTAGAAGTACTTTTGCAAGTAAAGGTGCTGAGTGATAATACAGAGTAACTGGAACTTTTGTACTTCGAAGATGGCTAAAAGGGCAACACTGCCGGGTGCAGAATCTCATTGTGTCCGCCTGGATCGCCTATCATCTTTCTAAACTAACTTCATTCAGCATAAAGCAATATCTACACCAGGTGATGAGACTAACCAACGAGGTTAACGTTGCACATCCGAGCACTTCACAAATTCATCTGGAACCATATATACGCGTATCACGCACCTGGCAACCATAGCTTCACTCAGACTCATGGCCGTCATCCTCAAATCCCCAGAAGTCCTCACCACAGTGCTACAGAAATGGTATAAAGTCGACAGCACCACAAGCAGGAATGTTCGCTCCTATGAAAGCAGGCCAATAACACCGCGACAACAGCATACAGCAAATAACTCCCGTGGTCAGATCAGCATCACCCTACACCGACACACCGAGAGTCAGACCAGCAACTCCCAGCAAACACCAACGGCGCCAATCAGCCTAGGAAAAAAATCAACTGGCCCGGTTCCGGTGGAACTGTTCAGTCAGTAAAAACCATCACCACATGCAAACATGTGCTACTAATTAATCCGAAGACATCTCACGTTACGAGGAGTACTTCCAGTAGGGTGAGGGGACTCTGAAGTAAAATATCAGAGCTCCGATCCCTCTGTTCGGATCTAGTCCCGAGAATTATAATCCTGACGGAAACATGGTTGTCTCCAGATATTAGTGACATCGAAGTCAACGTACATGAAGTGTTTTTGTTCAGGAGTGACAGGGAACATAAGGAGGGTGGGGGCTGCAATATACGCTGACAGTTGCTTCGAAAGTAAGCAAACCACTGATACTATATCGACAAGGCTTACAGACTGCGTCTGGTGCCACTTCTCGGTCAAAAACTCTAAGTACCTGGTTGGAGGAGTCTATAGGTCCCCTAATAGCAAGTTGGAACACAATCACAAATCACTCCAAGTAATATCCCGTGTCGACTGTGGGGTATGACCAGATCCTAATAGCCAGCAACTCCAACTCTCAGCTCACAGCAAGTCAGCACGACTTCGAGCCTGAAGCTCTATCGTAACCTGCCAAATGCCACCGAATGGCCGGGCTGTATGAAAAAATTAGCTGCGATACCCGCTGGTGGCTGGATGGTGAACCATCCAAACTGGATTAACTACCGACTAGTGATCATCTACTGGCTGAAAACGTCCGGGTTCGAACCCCTCTTGGAGGAAGAGATCATGCCGTTGTAGTGTTTGGTCTGGTAAAGAGCGAAAGGTTATCATGGGGAGATCTCGCCCTTACCCCTGCTGCTGCAGGACAAACTACGAGGACATTAATCGGTGCCTGTCAGAAGCTCCAAGGTCAGTAGATGGGGACTCCTTATCGGCTGACCATCACCAGGACCTAGTAAGGGACACTATTAAGGCGGCGATTTCTGAAAACGTCCCCTTGATGGTAAAAACACCCAGAAAGCGGGCCTCATAGCCAAAACGAGGAACTGTGCGTCTCCTAAAAGTCAAGTGGGAAACGTGGCATAAACGAAGGCTCTCCTTAGAAGAGGATGATCACGGCGCACTTGAAGCCCTACTAAATCGACGCGGCATCAGGGTGTGGAGAGAGAGGAGGCCGTTCCAGTCCAACCTTGCCAAGGAGCTGGAGGTAAGCCCTAAAAACCTATGGAGAAAAGAAAATCTGCGAGCCAGGGAGCATGGGTCATTAGGGGCCCGAACAAGGAAAACCTCTCGGAACAGGAGATAGCCGAAATGTTGAGCAACACCTTTGACGCATGGCTCAACATTCCAACACGAAAGCAAGCATACTCACTGCCCGAACACCCCCAACGTTATCCGATGCAGCAGAGTTACACGAAGTACAGATAGCTCGTGTTTTTGTTCTCGATAAGCTATCGAGGCTAAGTGCGAGAAAATCCCCAGGGTGTGAAGAGATTCGCCCATCTATGTTGAAACACTGTCCAAATACCGTGAGTGGCCCACCCTGCAATCTTTTTCAGCAGTCCTTAAATGAACAAAGACTCCCACGGGAGTAGAAACAGGCTATCCTCTCGCCTGTCTCTGAAAGTGGGAATAGACAGAACCGAAACTGTTAGCGATCCATAGCACTTTTACCAGCAATATCAAAAGTTCTGGAAAGTGTGACAGACAACCGCATCCGGGAATATCCGGAAACAAAGCAAGAACTCATTGATGCTCAGCCCGGCTTCCGAAGGGGTTGGTTCTGTGCCTTCAACCTCCTGATGGCCCTTGACCACCGGACAGCATGCTGGGATCTCAAGGTCCCAGCCCACACGATTTTTCTAAATCTTACTGAGGCCTTCGATACTGTCTCGTACACCATCCCAATGCACAAAATAGCTGGGTTGGGCATCAGCGGCGAGGCGCCATCGTGAATGCAGAACTACTGAGACAGTAGGGAGTTCTGCGCGAAAGTCGGCAGGGTCTAATTAACTTGCAGAACAGCATCATCCGGTCTCTCACAAGGAGCAGTCTTGGGTCCATTGTTGCTCCTACTGTTCGTGAAAGACTTTCTACTGCATATCAGCTCTTCATTTCTCCTCTACGCTGACGATATCAAGTTATGAAGGGCAGTGACGCGCAAAATGGAATCCAGTGCACTTCGGAACTACCTCGAGACACTAGAGGAGTACGCGACAAATAACGAATTGGCGTGTAGCCTGAATGAATCCCGGTTCAAGTTTTCCCGCACTCCTAATCCACAGAAAGTGTCCTATTGTCAATGTGGTTCACATCTTTCTCACAACGCAACAGAGAAGGACCCGAGTTTAATGATGGCGGAGAAAATGGACGCCGGTTTCAATTACCCAGGAGAAGCCTCAAAAGCATATGGTGTACTATACCCTGTGCTCAGACAACTAGGTGCCCTAACCCCAGGGCTCTTTTTAAAACTCTACAAGACGTACGTGCGGCCCCGCTTGGAGGTCCGTGACCTCTTCGCTCCACCACAGCTGAAAAGAGGCATGAACCTCCCAAAGGAAGTTCAGAGACGAGCCACAGAAAGGGTTACTGGGATGTACCAGAAGCCGTATGAGGATAGGTTGAGAGATCTAAGCCCATACTCTTTTAGTTACCGAAGGTTACGAGGTGATCTAACGGTGGCTTACAAAATGCTAAATAACCCAACTCACCCGAGCAGAGGAGTACTACCAAGTGGCCATGTTGATGATCCTGGTGGAAACCGTAACAGAATTGCCCACCAAAGGTCAAAAACTAGCGTGTGCTCACACTTTTTCTCCCTTCTAGTCTGCGGGCTCTGGAATGGACTACCAGCAGAGGTAATCTCCGCCCATTCCGTTGAAAGTTTCAAGAAACGGCTAGGTGGTTACGTAGAAACCAACGGTTTATGCACATGTAGTTGGAATACTAACTAGACCAGAGAAGTCAACTGCTGTCACACCATTCCAACTATACTACCTCTACACCAGTTTTCTTCCAACAGTAACCGCTTGAGCCCTTTTCACTTGCCACGAATTAGCCTTACCTACCTAAGTTCTTCGTACCTTTGAACCCCGCCGTCTTGGGTGCAAGTAAACTAATCCATTAGTTTGCCTTCTTCGCCTTTAACTCTCACACATTTGCCTTCCTAGGTTATCTCCTCACTATTCTTTATCCTCTCTAAAGACCAGTCCGAACAACTGTTTGGCAACACGACATCCGAGGAACCCAACTGTACCACAGTTCCAGGCAGACTAACCAGCACTGAATCTTCTGTTCTTTGTACCAGAGCTATAGCAGACAAGTGGCTGGATCTACTGCATCTGAATCCGCCAAACAGCTGGAATCGTTCCGCATTACCGAGAAGCTAGTAGGAAGAAACCGACTGGTTTACATAAGCTCCCTAAACAGATATTTGATACTGGATATTCAGTATCGAAAGAGCTAAGGTTCTTCATTTTCAACAGAAAATCCTAGGCCTAATTTGTTTTCGTAAGTCAATTGATCGAACGTTCAATGATGCTCGTCTTTCAATAGGCCGGAATTAGTTCGTTCTTATTTTATTTGTTCTTCCTCTTCTAGCAAGAGTAACTTTATTTATATCGTACTTCATATTTGTTCAAGCATCTTCTTTTCTCATTTTTCGACCGGATACTATCTGAACTAAGTACATATCACTCACACGCTTCCATACCTAATGCTTTACTCGAGAGGTCACATTTATCTAGCAGCAGCTCCTTGCATTTAATTTGTTTCCATTTGGAAATACATCATGTTCAGTAACATTAGGAGAAAACTGACTAATCCTCGCTCTAAACCAAACTCACCGACAAGTTTGTGTCCAATAACGAAAGAAGATACAGCTATCCAAGAAGACAGTGGAGAATTTATCAGTGAGTTTACGTTTTGGTTAGTGGTTTTGAAATTTTCTCTTTTGCACTTTGCTCTTATACTCTAGCGATATCTGGGTCATCGTATTTTGTGCAATAAGAAAGCCTTATATTTTACACTAACCCATCCAGCCAGATTTCACTTTGGGCTTAAGGTGAGATTTTTGGGCAAAGACCCCGAAAAAAATATTCAGACGCATCTAGGAATGCCCAATATGTTCCGGATGAAACCAAAAGTTTTTGCTGCAAATTGTCAAAAGTCGCAAAGTATCAGTAGCATCCCAGACTTAAATTAGGTATATTTTTACTTTCATTTATAAGGCCATATTCTGGAATACTCTTCTATCAAGCTTACTTTTATATGGTGGTAGAATATGTTTGCATAATTCGAAACCTTGACAACTCGAGTTTAAACGGGAAAATGGATAACTTAGGAGACTTTCCCAAAGTTCAAGTGTTTGCCTAAAGTATCTTTGGGATTGTGCCTGAAATTTCTAAACTGAACTTGAGTCTACTCCATAAACCTACTGGAACATATAGACGTGACCAAAGTTCCCAGTAACCGTGTTTTCGGTTGTAAAACGAGAAGACTAGGCCAAAACTGACTTGTCATAAAGTCACTACCACTTCATTTCGCTATAAGGTTATATAACACATTTTAGCCTGTTTATTCGAAATGTCACATAGTGAAATTGTCGAGCTACCTGATATGAATATGGACAATAAATTGTGTCCGAACCGTTTTCCAGTAAGTGATACTGTCCCTTCACTATGTGACATTTCAAATAAACAGACTAAAATGGGCTTACAATCAACCACGGTGCCCAAGTTTCACTCCTATATTAGTCATATAACACACTTCTCCTGTCGATTTTGTTCATCCATTGCTGTGCTAGGTATTATGGCATCTGCAACAATTAATTGTCAAGTCCAGCACTAATATGCTTCCAATTCTTCCTACACTTATTATACATGTAACTTCTAAGAGAAAATGTAAACACAATGCACTAGGCTTTCACCCTTGTTCAGTAATGGTCAGGTTACTGCAAGTCACTATACGTTCGCTTTTACTATATTACTCAACCTAACAATTTTCTGTTAAGCACTAAATACCACAAAATTCCATATTTTTCGGTGCAAATTTTAGTGTAGATGGTTGACCGTCTAAACTACTTGCTAGAATTCCTAGCACCTTTTCTTAATTCAGATAATAACAAGACGTTAGAGGCATGTGCAAGCCTGGGGAATACACGGGATGCACATCTCTAATCCATGTTCAAAGTAATTATAGTTTTATTTGAATGGCGTGGTATGCTTTTTGTCGGATGGACGATAATAACTTTTTTTGGAAACGCCTTATGGTTTCATTACTTTTTTCTTGTCAACTGATGCATCTAACTGATCAGAAGTTCTAGTAAGTTGTATGTTGATAAATGTTGTTTTATGTTCTGGTATACAAGAAGCTTGTGAGCCATCTATGAAGATTATATGAAGCTTTTTACTGGGTGGTTCTTTCTTCAACAGTAATATTTAAAAAATGTGTGCTTCCGCTAAGTAGTGCTCTTGTTTTTCGCTGTTTTCTGTTCCACAAGCCCAATCATTTTTATTCAAATGGACTGTGTATCTTGTAAACTGATTTTGACCTCCCTATGCTGGTTACCTTTTTGGTTGTTGTTTTTCAGATACATCAATAGACTTGTAGGGGTGCGTGTTACAATTCTGTAACGTTTGACCAACCCTACTTAACTTGATGTTCTCTAGTACCTGCTTAACCAGTACTTTACCTAACGTGTAAGTACTGATAACAAAGCACAAATCAAAAGAACTGATACGCAATGTATTTGAAGGAGCTATGTATTTAATTAAAGTAAATGTAATAATAATGAGTGGGGGAAAAGTTTAATCAACTTATCTGGCTTGTAAGGCTGAACTAGGGACTCAGAGTACGTGCGTGGTAACCAGCACAATGGAACGCAAAATGGCGTCCAAGCCTGCTTGGATGCATGCTCGTTAAAACAAAACTTAAAACACCCTAAGCATCCGGAGGCAAGCTAGAGATTTAATGGGTTAATTTAATTTAAACTATTCATTTTAGCCCTAGTTATATTTTAGTGCCAGCTAGGTGCACTACAGACTCTACAAGCCAGTTGAGGTATATCGTCACCCAAAAATTATCGGTATATAGAGAAGCTAAGCAACATTGATGGAAAACAGCTTTAAACTGAATTTCAGTTAACTTAAGAGGTTTTGAGACTACATCAACTAAGATTGTTTCTTGCAACCCGATGAATAATAGCTGACGCAAAATACACCGGTTATCTAGTGTTAATTTAAGCCGTTTGTTGGTGTGTAAGTTTACTAGGTTGTGATATCAGATTTACAAATTCAAATACCTCACAGCTTGCATTCAACTGAGTCTGAGCAGATCGGTACTACGTCATCAAATGTACTTTGATTTTAGCCCAATATATTCAGTAGACACTGGATTTTACCCACATCGTCTAACAAGATAACATCGTCTGTGTAATCTAAGTAGACCAGTTTCCGTGTAGACAGAAACTCATTCCCTAAGAAGTTGAAGCTCAGTCAGTACGCCTGTAACAAATCCCGAAAAGAACGCTAATAGTAAACATCACCTTCAGATATCTCAGCTTTTTGTCACCTCAGATAATATCTGTCCTCAAATCCTTGAATGTCTGTATGAATTCCAGTTAAAAGCCGTTGTTGACATAATTTTCTTTCTCGAGATTTGTCACAGTCAGATACCACCGAAAAACTTGACCTGTTACACTTCTATATAGAAAGTTTCACGCTTCTATTCTTGTCTGACACCCACTGAAGATATGACTGTCGAAGTTGGGCGATATGTTGAAAGTGCAAGTGTTTAGTCAATTATGTCGTATAACTCGTTTTTTTAGAAATGTAGTAATTTTGTGGTTGAGCGTATGATTTTATTCAGGTCACTGAAATAATGCAAACCACCAATACACGTTTAAACGTCTGAACAATGCCTATCAAATTCCACCTCAGTTACTAAAGTTGTAAAACTACACCGGCTAAGCAACTCAAACTTGGCCTACATATTTTTAGTCATTACCTATCCCGGTGTATAATGCTACCTTGAATAGATGAATGAAACCCAACAGTTGGTCTAAGGTACTTGATCAAAGCACAACTAAACTGTTGATCTAATTTAGATAAAGAATTGTTAGCTTTCTTGTGCAAATGTATCGATCAGTTTCACTTACATCCTCTAAAAGTCGATCATGATATCAATCAAAACGTATTTATTCTTCCAAATAGCTTTCACTAGTTTTCTTATGGTATCCTGTATTTTGTGCCGTTGGTTTTGTATTCGCATACTATTTCTATAGTTTCCAAGATGATCTGATTTACCTTATCAGCTTCTGCTTTTTTTTAGCCTGCAATTATGCAGTTTGCTTTTTATACTCATCATTCATCAAAGACATTCTAGACACTTATGCTGTTTAATTTTTCGGAATCTAAGCAATGCGAAATTTATTTGTATTTTCATCCTGTTCTCATATATTGCACACTAAATACAGAATTCAACTCTTCTCAATAGGTTAGTATTTCATTTTTGAAAGTCACATATTTAATTTATTGACCTCAGTTGGTGAATTTGATAAATCTAAGACATATTAAAATGAATTTGTCTAATTATAGTTAAGTAACTTCTTTATATGTTTAAAGTTAATGTATCACATCGGTTTTAAAGGATGGTGTGTTTTGCATTTCGAACTTCCAAGTTATAGTATTGCTGTATGCTATGATCAGCAATTTCTATCCGAATCTTAGATAAAAGTGAAATTTATTCTGTTTTACAGGCGAGTATTGACTAATACTGTGTAGGCTAAAGTTTTTATGCACACTTCATGTTTGCATGTTGAGTACATGCTTTTCAATCTTGGAATATGTTAACAAAGTTTCTGGGTTTGTTTTTCTTATTCAATAAGTATGCTGGAAGTTTACTGATTCAATTTAGAAATTCTCAGTAAGATAGAAACTATTATTGTGTCTAAAACTCTTATTAACTAATCTTTATATGCAATTATGTGTCCACTTTGCAGTAACAAGCTGCTAAACTATTAGTAGACACATTGATAGTCTCTCATACATTTCCACTCATTTTGTTTTCGAATTCTTTGTGTTTTTCAAAAAGTACTTTTCTCTTGAAATCGATTTGTCTGCTCATTAGTTATTGAACGGTTTTTTCCATTGTAAACTTTGTACACGTTTTTGCTAATTAGTTAAACCGTTTTACTCTTTTTGGGTTACCATTGTGCATATATCCATACAAACATGCATAGCATAATGTCTTGTAACTAGGTCTTATGCAAAAGAATCTAGTAGTATTTCCACTAAACCGAAAGAGGAAATAACTACATCGGTACATAAAACATGTTTTTCGGAAATGTATCTGATAAAAGATCACAACAGAAAACTTCTTGAAGTAAAAGTACACCAGCCATGTGTACATCTTTCTTCATGTGCATAATATAAATGAAAATCAGATAAAACTAAAATGGAGTCATGTGCTATTTCGTTTAATTATTTAACTTATAGAAACTGTTTGGTAGAGGTTCGGCACTTAGATTTCATGCTTGTTACTAACCATCAATAAGACATTTGTAGACTTGGGAAGATCCATTTTGGGACTGAAACCGCATGATTCAGAAACACAGTTATAAATATACGTTCACACTTTTCCACTTTGGTATATTTCTTTGATCTCATTTCTGCTGTATTCCTCTCCGCTTAGATGAATATACAGAACCAATCACTGCTTCAGTTTTAGACTTAGGAATTTCGAATAATTGTCCGGATCCCCTCTGTTAGCTAGTTTTAGTAGTTTCGAGCAAAATTTATTGATCTAGATATCAATGTAATTACACATTTTCCTGGTTTAGTTATCATATTTCTGTTTTTCCACTCTGATTTGGTTTGTAGCAAAAAATTTCCACACATCTGGAATTGGTGTT